TATGGGAGATACATGTGACTGGAAAGCTCATTGAAGTTATAATTTCAGAATTTCTTCTCTGTTTTTGCCACTCTGAATAGCAGAAAAGCAGAAACAGGCCTCAATTCCACAGCAGGCATACAGCCAGGATGGCTAGCTTCTGCACCACCACTCCAGAAGGGAAGGGACGTGGCCAGATATGCTGGGCTTAGGTAAATCCCAGCAAATGGATAGTTCCTTTGGTCCTGTTACCAACTGGAAGAGTTTAGATGAGCTGAATGCTTACTTTGTTTTGTTCTATTTATAGATTTCAGAAGTCAATCATGCCTATTATACCAGACCCAAAGCATATATTTTCTGATCTCTTTAACGATCATAATGGAAACTTCCAGGTAAATATCCAAGCATTCTTGAACTTCTTGCTGGTTTTGGATTAATTCCAACACAACAGTCCTACCCTACATATCATTTTAAAAACCTGAAAGCTACCTTTGTGGTCTCTGTTGAAGGTTAAAGTAAGCGCTCTCAGATCCTAAAAAAGTCTCTCGCGCTACTTCATGTGGTCTTAAAGAAGAACTATTATTACTACTTACTTGCTGGGACACTGATAAGGGGGTACAAAAGAGGCAGCAACCACGGGCCCAGAAATTTAAAAAGACCCAGGAGCTCTGCGCATCTTAGTCCAGGTGGTGCTGAGGGCTGGCTACTCCTCACCCGGCCTCTTCCTTCTGAGGCCCTGCCCCTTCTGGGGGCCCAGAGCTGAGCCCTCCTCCCCACATTGCCCAGGGACTGCAGAAGTCTGTCTGCAGCCCTCTTTATTTGTATTGTAGTAACACATAAGGATCTCAACCACTGAAGTGGATTGAATGTGCTAACACCCGTACAAAGACAATTTCTGCCCAGTGGGCTTGCAATGATGGCAGAAGGCAAGATACATGGACACATATTGACGGGCACGATAAGAATAAGGCCAGAAAGGCCATCCTGAAAAGTAGAGATGACAGCACACCAAATCTTTGTACTATTCTCTTTCCAGACCTCCTGTCACAAAAGGCCACCAACCTTTGTCCTTCACAAAACTATCCACAATGTCCCAACTTGCCTGATTTACCACTATACCTTCCAATCCTTTTAACATTCACCTTGCTGTAAAACAGCAGATCTTCAGACAGCCCGAGGGAGGAATGCCCTTTGTGTTTGCTTCCCGTTAAGCTGAAATGCATGCAGTTTTCCTGAAAAGCATCTGTTATTTGAATATCTTGAATGTGGCTTAAACCTCACCATTTAGTCCATGCCATAGCAGAAAGCAGACTGGCAAAATAATGATGAATATTCACTATCTGATGGATAATAAATACAAGTACTGTGCCACTATTACAATGGTGAGGAAAATGAAAAACAGTAATAGTGTTTTACTCGTGAATCAAAATGTACTTACCCGAGGTAAGTTTTAAAAGATACAAAATAATAACTATTAATAATTCAATGCAAAATAATAATAAAGGACCTGCTCCTAAAATTAATTAGATAAATCTCCCGCCAAAATCAACTTAAGTTTTGATTGAGTCAGGACTTGTCTTAAAAGATTTGCAAAATCCTTACAAGTGGGGTAGGGGAGAGGCACTGTGTTCATTTAGTGTATTTTGAAGGTACCTATCACTGTAACTGCTAGATAATAATTAAATCCAATTCTGAATGTGTTAGTAGTAGTAATTTCCTTGAAGTTTTCTTTGTTCTTCATACACATCCATGTTTTTTGCTTTTGTCTTATTTCCTGCTTGCCTGCTATTTCTTAGGGTCATGGTGAAGGTCGGTGTAGCCTGTGCTTGTTTTCAAATGAAATTAGAGCCTGGGATAACATCTACTCTTCATTCTCTTAGGAATGGATTCATGAAACTGACAATGCAATGGCCCAAACAAAGATGGAGTGTATAGAACATGAGTGCATCATTGAGGAAAGAACTGAGCAGGAAGATGTGAAGGAAGCTAGCGAAAAGCTTTATGAATTGTCAAACATGAACAAAAGAGATTTTCTGAATTCTGTTCATAACACTTGCCTGCAACCACCAGCCAGTGAGACGGTTTCTTTTGGGAGTTTAAATTTTTTTATGAATGAAGACATGTACGTCATCTTATGAAAATATGTGCTGCAGTAGGAACAGATGGTGTTGGGGTAAAGGTACAGAGGACCCTGATGAGTTTAAAGGAGCATCTGAATACAGTGAAAAGTTATGATGAGGCTTGCCTAGCATAACATAGAACACACTCCAATCTGGATTGCAATTTTCCCAGAATTTAGGGACAACCTATGCAAGCCCATTAGAGAAAAAAGAAGGCATGACAATTCAGGTGTCTTTAGATTTGGGGTTCTAATTTAGGCCCATCTCTAAGGCTAAACCAAGCCCCATCATGCGTAGTATGGACATGAGATTCCAAAGAGCCCTTCTCATTCACTGCATACCTTCTAGGAGCTGAGCATAAACCCAGGCCTTGTTCTCAGGGAGTGCACTGACTGTGTTCAGTTAATGAAAACAATAGCACTTCCAAAGTAAAAAGTAAAAAATTTGAGTTAGGTCAGCACTATCAATCTGCTTTCTCTTTTCTCTTCAGATAGTAGACACATTCTTGTGGACAAAGAGGATAACTCTCAAGGATGGGTTGTTTTGACTGTGAAATATATATCTTTGCTCTCAATATTAAATCTTCTCTTGGCATATTTAGGAACTGTAGATTTTATAAATGGATTGCTCTTCATATTACTTAAATCAACCTTTTATTTTATGTGTGCCAACTTCACCTAAACTATGTCATATTTTTTGCTCTGTAGCCACATTTTTTTAGATAGCAGACTCAGGAAAACCCAATTGACTCATCCAAACTATATTAGGTACATCTTCCTACATCATTTAATATGCATGCTTCTTGAGAATAAACATTGTAGTTAAACATCTAACTGAGATTCATCTCTCACATAAGTCCATTTAGGGTAATGTAGTTACCCCAAGGATTACTATATTGGTGTAAAATTAACATTATTATATGGAAATTAAGCTACTTCAGTTTATGCTACTTGAAGATCTCACCCACTTATTGCTTCAGAAGTGAGAAGCAAGATCTTAGAATGTAAATACCTTATGTGGTTAGTGGAGCAGCACATACATAAGGACATATGTAGAGAGGGTCAGAAAAATGACTTATGGTGTCATTTTCTGTGAAATAGTGAAGAGTCTTTGAAATAGAAATGCTTTAGGAACTAATTTTAATTCTTCCGAAAGTTCATTGGGGAGTAAAAACAACAACAAAGGTCCCAACAATGTAAAAAGGCACGTTGATTTTTTCAGGAAAAAATGTCAAATTTTGAAATGACTTTTCATTTTGAATTTTTAATGTTAAAATAAGAAGCCAATAAAAAACAAAATATTTTTCTCAATTGACACAATTTGTTGTTTTTGGACTTTTCCTTTGTGAATAAGTTACACATTTTGGAGTTTGTTCTGATTCAGAATGAAATAAAGTTCTAAAATCTGAAAATCCTTTGTAAAACAGTATTTCTGTCTCCACATGCATCTAGACATAAATTTTCAAAGCTGTTAAAATATCGATTTCAGAAACAAAACAGATTTTTTTCTTCCAAGTATTCAAGTTGATTTTTATGGTTACATGTGACAAGGAATTAACCATTCTGTGGTGTTTGAGGAACTAGCCCTAAATCTGTCAGACACAGTTTGGGAGAGGAAGCAAGAAAATGTACAATACCAATTAAGAGTTGTGACATTTTATAACTGAAATATAGATGGTTCTGTGATTTCAGAAAATCCCTTGACTAGACTACAGGTGTCCAGACTGAATGGATGCTCTCTCGTAAGCTGTGATTGCTATGGACAGAAGGGCCACCAGGGCACCTGTGCTTTTTCCTCTTTCCTCTTCTTTCGAAAGAACTCCCTCTTCCCTGTCCACACATGCCTTTTTTGAGAAAGAGCTCTTTCGCAAAAAGGCTTCTTCCTCATAGAATGAGGATTACCAATGCCGGAAAAACCCCTGTTCTTTCGATTTTCTTGAGGAAGAACACAATTGCAGCGTAGACTTTCCTCAAGCCATTTTTCTGACAAGACTCTGTAATGTAGACATACCCTGAGACACTGGGCTGATGTCATGTGGTTGGGTGCTCAGCAATCTCTGAGCATCCAGCTCTGCCAGATGCTTGATGGAGATAACTACAATCACTTGAAAATATAGGCATGAAAATCCAGAATTCACTTTTTATATTTTATTCTTCTCTTGTGTTGGGGACTTATGAGGACATTTTGTGGATACTTTCAGGGCTTCCTCCCCCCCCCCTGTTTTTTTTGCAAACAAACAATCTTTTTTGTAGCACTACACATTTTAGTGCTTTATCATACTGCAATTCACACAGGTACAGCAGTCCACACAAGTACAGGATTATACACGGGGTTGGGGTCACCTCAGATTAACCCAGACAATTTTCTTATCCATGTACCTTCTCAGTACAAGTGGTTTGTCACCTCAGGGTATTTTATAGCCCCATTATAGCAAGTGTTTATTTGTTTGTTTGTTTTTATCTTAGCATTGGAAAAAGTTCAGAAAAGGGCAACAAAAATGATTAGGGATTTGGAAAGGCTGCCATATGAAGATAGATTAAAAAGACTGGGATTTTTCATTTTAGAAAAGGGAAGACTAAGGGGGGATATGTTGGAGATCTATACAATCATGACTTGTGTGGTGACAGTAAATAAGAAAAAGTTATTTACTTGTTCCCATAACACAAGAACTAGGGGGTCACCAAATGAAATTAATAGGTAGCAGGTTTAAAACAAACAAAAGGAAGTTTTTCTTCAGGCAGCACATAGTCAACCTATGGAACTTCTTGCCAGAGGATGTTGTGAAGACAGGACTTTAAGGATACATCTACACAATAGCATTATTTCAGAATACTGACATTTCAAAATAACATAATGCATGTCTACACACTACTAGCCTTTAGTCCAAAATAATGTCGAGCTGGAGGACATCTTACTCTGACTCATGGTAACTCTCAGTTCATGAGGAGTAAGGAAAGTCGAAGACATACCCATGAGGAGTAAGGGAAGTCGAAGGAAGAGTGTTCTTCCTTCAACTTCCTGCTGGGTAGACAGCGCCAAAAGCCAAATGTCGGCTATTTTTACTTTAGTTACACAATTGATGTAGCTGAAGTTGCCTAGCTTAATTCGACTTTAGCTCTGATATGTATACATGCCCTAACAGGGATTCAAAACAGAGCTAGATAAATTCATGGAGGATAGGTCCATCAATGGCTATCAGCCAGGATGGATAGGAATGGTGTCCCTAGCCTCTGTTTATAAGAGGATGGGAATGGGTGACAGGGGTAGAATCGATTGATGATTACTTGTTCTGTTCATTCCTCTGGCAGCACCTGGCATTGGCCACTGTCGGTAGACAGGATACTGGGTTAGATGGACCTTTGGTCTGACCCAGTATGGCCGTTCTTAAGTTCTTATGTTTGTTTGTTTGGCATTACTGCTACCACTTTATCTAGTGCAATGATGTCCCTTCTTCTTGTCCATTAATCTGACACATTTGTTTCCCCTTGCCCTGGTTCTTTCCATGCAGAGCACACTTAGCTGAGCTCATCCATCATGGCAAAGTGCTACGATGCTGTGCTGCCCATAGCATTCCAGGCCCCATCTCTTGTCAAAGCAACTTGTGCAATGCGGTGAGGTGGCTAAAAAAAGAAATTGCATAATTCTCTACTGGAGTTGGGTAGATCCACAGTCCTGGCCAGTTTCCTGCCATCATCCCGCTCCTTC